TTCCCTCACTTGGACAAAGGTCCTTAAAGTTTTTTGATGACACTGTTGGCGCCCCAAACTAGACTCTGGCTCCAGAAGCAAGTACTAATAATAATGACCAGGGCCCTGACTGGGTGGCTCGGTTGGTTAGAGAGTCATCCCAATACCCTAAGGTTGTGGGTTCCATCCCCAGTCAGGGCACATACCAATGAATGCATAAATAAGTGGAACAACAAATCTCTCTCTCAAACAAACAAACAAATAAATCTATATAATAAAAGCCTAAGCAACTGTTACTGCAGAACGACCAGAACGACCAGTTGCTATGATGCGGCAGGGGGCAAATGCTCAATGCAGGAGCTGCGCCCTGGTGGTCAGTGTGCTCCCACAAGGGGAGTGCTGCTCAGCCAGAAGCTGGACTCATGGCTAGTGAGCACAGCTGTCACAGCAGGAGCCTCTCCTGACTCCACGGCAGCACTACCGAGCGATGAGTGGCAGCAGCAGGCACAGCGGGCCGGGATGAGCATGAGCAGTGTTCAGCCCCGATTCGGGCTCCTCCCTGGCCGCCTGCCACTTGGCGCACTGCTACATCCCCTGAGGGGTCCTGGACTGCAAGGGGGATGTCTGGGACTGAGAGAGGGTGCAGGCTGGGCTGAGAGACCCTCCCCCACCCCCCCCCCGCATGAATTTCATGCACCAGGCCTCTAGTCAATACATACATACATACATACATACATAATTTTTTAAAAAAGAAATTATTTAAGAATGACCAGGAAATTATGCCAGTGGACTAGAATGGAAGTACAGAGCCCCATGGGGTCCCTCGTGCTGATGCTGCCATATTGGTACTTACTGGGTCAAGCATGAAGAGGTCCACTCCTTGCCCAGTGGAAAGAGCCACCAGGGTGGCACTGCCGTAGAGGGCATAGCCCGCGGCCACGATGTGGCGGCCCGGCTGCAGGGCATCCTTTTCTGAAGGCTCCTCCTCCGAGGTCTGGAGAAGAGAGGAAGGAACAGGGCATTGTCTCTGGAGAGAGCCTTGGCCAAGGTGTGAGCTTCTTAACTCTCCCGAGGAGTGACTTCTAAGAGTAAAATAAAAAGCTATATTGACAGGAAACTCTGTGTCTTTCAAAATGCGTTCACAGTATGTTTTTGTGAAACAATGGAGAGGCTCTACAACCCTCGTTTGAAAGAGAAGGGTCGGAAGTCAGAAAGGTACTCACATAACATCTTGAAACCAGTGAGCCATAAGGCTGGGGCTGGACCCACGTCTCCCGTAGCTAAGCCAGCGTCATTCTGATCAACTAACAAAATATGGGGCCAGTTTGTCCTCCGCGAGTAACAGCCTAACAACTTTATTTTAAAAGCAATCTCATCTTCTTTAAGGTTTCTTTAAAATGTCACTTTCCCTTTAATATTTTTCTAGGGCTACAACTTAATTTAATTAAAAATGGCACATTCCTTTTAATATTTTCCCTTACTTTTACAATCTTACATTCTTTCTAACACATTTTTTTACAAACAATTATGCTTTCACTTGACTTGTGTGTATGTGCTTGATGGTTTGGCTTTATGTACAGAGTCCCAGGCCACACACGGATGCTGGGAAGCAGGCCCCAGCGCAGTGGACGGCAGCGGCAGCGTCACCCGGGGTCTCGTGGGACGGGCATATTCTTGGGCTGGGCCCCCGGCCTCCAGAGTCAGAAATGCTGGGCCCTCAGCGTCAGCCCTCCAGGTAGTTCCACAGAAGTTTCAGAACCACGGCTCCGGAGCGTGGTCTCCTCAGAGACGTAGACGGCAAAGGCGGTATTAGGTTTTTTAATTTAAAATCTTTAGATCCCCACTGGAGCTTGTGAAATACCTTTGCTCATCCATCAGAGGGATCACATTTTCTTCATATGAAACCAGAGTTCTCCCAGAGAGGAGGTTTTCCTTTCTCTGAGCCGTGAGCCTGCGGCCTCCGCAGGGCGTCACACTCTCTCCTCAGTCCTTGGAAACTTGCACTGTGGCTTGAAGAAAATCCCTCCTCCCCAGCCAGCTCCACTGGCCTTTAATGACTTGTAGACGCCCTGGCCTTGAGAAAAATAACAAGAAATGCTTTCTAGATCACAAGGCTTCCCTCCAGTGATTGCCCTGCCTCTGTCTTCATCTACATCCTGGAGACCAGGGTGCCTGTCTACACTACCTTCCTTCTCCTGTCCCCACAGCAGGCCGCCCCTCCCTACTAAATCTGATGCATGTTTTCCAGGCTTCCTCTTACCTGACCTCTAGGCAGTGTTGGATCCGTTGGCTGCTGCCTCCTGCTTGAGAGGTGTCTCTCCAGAGCTTCTGTCCACTTCCCTCTTGTCTGGCTTTCTTGCTAACTCTCTAGATGTGTCTTCTCATTTGCTTTTCCCCACTCCTCTTCTTAAATGTTGGTGTTCCTTCTGGTTCCTCCCCAGTGTCTACCCAGTGCAAAATGGACCTCTAAATCACCACCCTATCCAGAATGGGGACTCTCAGCTGCTGTATTTGTGCTATGAGTCTCAAACCCTTCCCACAAGTTTAATGGGGTCTGGGATGGATTCCTGTTCCAAACTGGCCCAATCAGAGTTTCTGCTCCAGAAATATGTATCTGGGGCTAGAACATTCTCTTTGATGGCAACTTAGGAGCATTGAGATGAACGTCTTTCTTCTGTCATGGGCCAGAGAATCAGAAAAAAACAGGTCCGCAGAGAGAGGAAAGAGTAAAATGGCCACGGGAAGATAAGATGAGAGGCTTTGACCCATCTGTGGCCCAGGCCCTGTCTGAGGCTGGCCATATTTCTGTCTTGGGGCTTCCTGACTCATCCCTACCATTTACACCAGAGTCCTGACTAATAAAACTAATAAAGCTCTCTTCTCTTCTCCGTCTACACCAGCCGTGGGCAAACTATGGCCCGCAGGCCGGATCTGGCCCGTTTGAAATGAATAAAACAACAACAAAAAGACGGTACCCTTTTATGTAATGATGTTTACTTTGAATTTATATTAGTTCACACAAACCCTCCATCCATGCTTTTGTTCCGGCCCTCCGGTCCAGTTTAAGAACCCATTGTGGCCCTCAAGTCAAAAAGTTTGCCCACCCCTGGTCTACACACTCCTCGGCCACCTCACTCACAACCAAAGTTCCAAGCCCTACACAGGTGTCTGCGCCTCCCAGACCTCCGTCTTCATCTGTCCTGATGCCCAACTCCTGGAGGCACCTGCCCACCAGACATTCTTGCTCAGGTCTTATCCACAGACGTCTCAAGCTCAGCATGTCAAATGTGGAGTTCATCTGCCCTGTCTCATCCCCCAAATTCCCACTCTTTTTCCATTGCTCCCCATCTGAGCAAACAGCACCGTCATCTGACCAGTAGAACCCTGGAAATCACCCTTCCCTTCCTTTCACCAAGTCCAGTCAGTTCTACAACCCACTCTTCACAGGTCCCTGCCTATCCTCACCACTGCCCCTTGGTCTGAGTGACCATCACCCCCTGCCTGGTCCTCCCACTCCATCCTTGCCCCACTCCTATCCATGTCACTTCTCTCTTTAAAACACTTCATTGATTTCCCATGGCCTTGATGTCCAATGTTCTTCAAATATAAAAAGAACTCATAAATCAATAGCAAAAACCACAAATTATATGATTAAAAAATGGGCAGAGGAATTGCTAGACATTTTCCAAAGAAGATATACAAAGGACTAACAGGTTCATGAAAAGATGGTCAGCATCATCAATTATTAGGGACATACAAATCAAAATCACAATAAAATATCACCTCATACCTGTTAGAATGGATATGAACAAAAGATAAGAGATAAGTATTGGTGAGGATGTGGAGAAAAGAAAATCCTTGTGCACTGCTGATGGGAATGTAAGTTGGTGCAGTATGGAGGTTCTTCAAAATGAAAAATAGAATTATCATATGATCTAGCAATTCCACTTTGGTTATATGTCTAAAGGAAATTAAATCACTATCTGAAAGATATATCTGCATCTCCATGTTCATTGCAGCATTATTCACAAAAGCCAATACATGAAAATGCTTACGTGTTCATCAATGGATGAATTGACAAAGAAAAAAATATATGTTTATATTTATATAATGGAATGTTATTTGGCCACAAAAAAAGGAAAGAAGAAAATCCTGTCTGAGGCTGGCAACATGGATGGAACTTGAGGGCATTGTGCTAAGTGAAAAAGTCAGAATACACCCATATTACTTATATGTGAACTCTATAAAAAACAAACTCATGGAAACAGAGAATAGATTGGTGGTTGCCAGGGACAAGGGGTGGGGAACTGGGGAGAAATGGGTGAAAGTGGTCAAAAGGTATAAGCTTCCAGTAATAAGATAAATAAGTTCTCAGAATGTAGTAGACAGCATGGTAACCACAGCTAATAATGTTGTATTATACATCTGAAAGTTGCTGAGAGAGTACGCCATAAAATTCTCATCACAAGAAAAAACATTGCAATTATGTAAGGTGATAGATGTTAAATAAGAGCAAGATGTTATCGTCTTGATCATTTCACAATATATACATATTCCAAATCATTGTGTTATACACCTAAAACTAATACAACGTTACATGTCGATTATATTCCAGTGACACTGGGGGAGGAGCTATTAAGAACTGCGATGGTGAAGGTAGGATGCCTATTTGAATCCCCGTCCTGACTGGTGATGTTAATGGAGTTACTTACCACCTCTGTACTTCAATTTGTTCACCAGTTTTTTAAAAAGTGACAGAAGTATGTGTGCCTCCCCCGGGGCTGAGGCTGACTCATGCTCTTTTTCAGAATCTCATAAATAGCACACCAGAGGTCTCTATTTTTATTGTAAGCTGTACCTCAAGGGGGAAAATGAAGCTCCTTCACTCACCTAACTCATTTCTGTGTAAACTCGAAACAGCATCTTAGTCTTTAACTTTCTCAGATACCAGAGAAGTGTCTTGAGTCCTCCTCTCCTCCCTCATGAAAGTCTCCCTGTCTCTCTGCAATACAAAAGGAGACACACTGACCCCCGTGGAGGTGTCCTCTAGCCCATGCAGGCTTGGCTCCCACTCTGTTCTCCGAGGCAGGAGGCGTAGGCCACTGGTCTGCGCCTTGCTTTTCTTCTCATAGAGAAAGGTTAGGCTAATTCATATATTCTGCCAAGGTTAGTTTTCTGGTAAGCTTTTGCCCTGAAAATCAAATTTTTGCCCCTTTTTTGGGACAACCGTGAGCCGAGCATCATCCATGTGTGCCAACAGCACCTTGGCTGGCACGAGGCTTACCCAATCCTCCCCTGTGTGTACCGTGCAGCCAGAGAAATGGGCCTCAAAAACCAGTCCCAGGGCAAGTTATCCAACTGAACAACCTTGAGACCCTCAGGTGCCACTGGCTTCCTTCTGACCCAGAGCCATCCTGACTCTCAAGTTGAGGAGGAGTGTGGACTATGTGGTTGTCATGAAGTTTCTGATGGTCACAGACTAACCCAGGGGATCTCACGAATGTTAGGAGTGTGAAGCTGATGGAACGGCCCCAAAGATACCCTACCTCCCAGAACCCGGGACTATTTTGTGTTACATGGCAAAAGGGACCTTGCAGATGTCATCGGAGTTCTACCTATTTGAACAGCAGCTTACCCGGGACTCTCCGGTGAACCCAAATCTGATCAGATGAACTGTTGAAAGCAAAGCCATTTCTGTGGCGGGAGGCAGGGCAATGGGGCAAAGTGAAGGTGTCAGAGAGCCCAGAGGCGTGAGAAAGGCTTGTCCTGCCTTCGCTGGCTTGACCGACATAGGCGTCACAAGCCAGGCAATGCCGGAAGCCTCCAGAAACTGAAAATGACCCCCAGGACAGGCCAGCCAGGAAGCAAGGACCCCCCACAAGGCCACTGAGCCTGGCAGGATGCTGCCCCCACAGCCCCACCCCACGATCCGAGGCCAGGCTAGCTGGCACCGGGTTTGCCCTTGGAGACTCTGAGCAGAGAACCAGCCACACCTGCCAGGCTTCCGACCCACGGAACCAGGAGATCGCCAGGGGGCATCCTTTTAAGCTCTAAGTTGTCATGGCAGCAACAGAGAAGGAATGGAGAAACGTGCCGCCTGGAGCCCACTTGGTGTCTGATGTCTGTGTCTCCTTCAGGTTTTTAAACAAGGCCCGTCTGTCCCCTCCCTTTGCCGTCCAGAATGCAGTGCCCAGGAGAGGGGAATGGTCGCTCCGGTTCCTCCAGCGGCGCCTGGGGCGGAGCGGGCTTCATGACCTGCCTACCCGCCTCTCTGCTCAGTGGGAGGACAGAGATTAGACCTCCAGACTCGTGGCTCCCAGGCCAGGCACCTTCCGGAAACCACCAGAGCAAAGAGGCATGAAAGGTCAGACGGCTACTCACCTTCCTGTAGATGGCAAATATGGTGCCAATGGAGGCCAGACAGTCGATGTTGGAAGATCCATCCAGGGGGTCAAAGCAGACCACATACTTCCCCTAGATGTACAGAGGGAAGAGCCACTCCGGTCAACACAGTCTATGTGCATGGCTGTGCGGGGCAGATAACATACTAACAGCACCAGAGAGTGATTGTGAGCAAAGGGATATTCTTATCAAAAAATGCAATTACTTACGGAAGCAGAGTGTACCAGCGTACGTGAACTGTGCAGCTCCGCGCCTACCTCCCACCACAGAGTTGGTAAGGCCACACAGAGCAATGGAGGGCCCTCCACCTCCAAAAAGCTTTCCCCTGCCTCCTCTGGCCTCTCCTACCTGGGCCCCGCGACTTGGAGCTGCTGAGGCTGGGAGAGGAAGGTCTGAAGTGGGCATCTTGCAGGGAAGAGGTGGGTAAGCTGAAGATAAACTTGGACTCACTCCACCCACATCCACAGTAGGGACAGTTAGAGATTTTCTTTTCTTTTTTCTTTTTTGTTATAGATTTATTGATAATGCTTTCTGACTCTGTCCCCAGTTTTTTTTTCTTCATTTTTGACAAAAATAAAAAATCAGAAAGTCTCAGAGCAATGCCCAGGCCCTGTGGGTCTCATTAAGATAGTTGCTATGCATAGATACCTCAGAGGAATAAAAACACTCCTCTGCATCCAGCGCCTGCTGTCCTGAAGGCCAGAAGACAACAGCGGGGTGTCTGTGATGCCACGCTCCTCACGCCCACCCACACCGCTCTCACACGCGGCTCCAGCCTGCATTGCACGAGGAGAAGTCACCAGGTACCTCTTACAGCCCCCCTCTGTGCAAGGCCTGTGCAAGCCTGAGAGATGAGGACTGGGGCCTCCTGGCTAACTAAACACGGTAATAAAATGTGAGCCTTGCCCTGGCCGGTTTGCTCAGTGGACTGAAGGGATGAGAGTTCGATTCTGGTCAATGGCACATATCTCAGATGCAAGTTCAATCTCCAGCCCTGTCGGGAAGGCACATGCGGGAAGGCAACTAATTGATGTGTCTCTCTCACGTGGATGTTTCTTTTTTTTTCTCTCTCTCTCTATACCCTTCTTCTCCCTCCCTTCCACTCTGTCTAAAAATCAATGGAGGAAATATCCTCAGGGGAGGAGTAAAAAAATCCCACAAAACTTGAGCCCTGGCTGGGTAGCTCAGTTGGTTATAGTTTCATCCTGATACGCCAAGGTTGTGGGTTTGATCCCTGGTCCGGGCACATACAAGAACCAATGAATGCACAACTAAGTGGGACAACAAATTGATGTTGCTCTCTCTTCCCACTCCGCTTTACTCTCTCTTTTTCTCTTTCTCTAAAATCAATAAATAAAAGTAAAAATTAAAATAATACACATTCCTTTAAAAAAAACCTTGAAGTAAAATGGGAATCATTTCTACTGCCACTAAAATTATGTTTCCATGACTTTCCAATGGGTAATGCCCTACCTTAAGTTGAGCTTTATTTCCTTTTCTCCCCTTCTCAACAGAGGGAAAGGGCACAAAAAAGTGGTGTAATTCATAAACTTGGAAATTTCCCATTCTCCCTGAGAATAATCCGGCTTATCCCATTCATTCATTCATTCATTCATTCATGCTTTCAATCAATATTTGTTGGGCATCTATCATATGTTGGAAAGTATTTAAGGAACTTATATGGAAAGAGGTATGGAGTATTCAAGAATTAGCATGAAGACATGTGTAATTCAGGCCAGCTGGGAAAGAAAACAGTAGATCACACTGGAGAGAGAATGGAGTGTCATATCAGTGGAAATTGAAAGTTGAAAAGAATAGGTGTGAAGTAGCTTAAATTATATAACAAGAAGAGTTGAGTGTTTTTCATAGTCCTTGGCATACAGTAGGTGCTTAATAAATTTGGCTTTACCTTTTCTGTTCTACCAGCTAATCATAAAGAAATGGCGCTTTGTCCCTAACACCCAACGTATAAATCAAGGGCCAATAGTCCCAGCATGTACAGTGGGACCTTGACTTATGAGTTTAATTCGTTCCGTGATGGAGCTGTAACTCAAATTACTCGTATATCAAATCAACAGTGAACAAGTGAGACATGTGATGCTGGGCTGATGTTGTGGCGTTCACTGTGAGGTTCCCTGCGCCAACTAGCGGTGAGGTATCTGAAGCTGGCTCATAACCCGAATTTTAGCTCGCAACTCAAAGCAAAAAAATCAGATGAGAGACGGCTCGTATCTCGAAAAACTCGTTAGTCGGGACACTCGTAAGTCAAGGCCCCACTGTATTCTGTATTTCTGTACCACAGCTGAACATGGTTGAATTTTTTGGTCACCAGCAAACCTCTCTCTTTAGTAAACTGTCCATGAAATCAGAGTGAATATGGACTCTCCAAGCCATGCCCTGCACTAACCAAGTTGACCATTACATCAGTGCAAGAGAGCCACCATCTTTACGATTTCTATATTAGTCTGACAGTGTGTCAGGAATGAAGAAACCCCTATTGAAACCGTAACTCTCTTGAAGAAGTGGGGGAGGGGCGGAGGGGTATAAAAATGGGGAGGGAAAAAGTAAGAAGCTGTACAGTAAGGCTCTTCCCAGGAACTCTACTGTTTACTGAACTCGATGATTTTCAATTCCCCCCAAAATGCCAGTACTAGTCACTGATGGGTACGTTAAATGAAAATCCATGAACCCCACTGCACAGATGCAGTAAGTCTCCAGCAGTAAAGGTGTCTGGGAAATGCTGGGCCGTCTGTGACAGTTTAACTCTCTGTAGCCTCAGGTTTGGCTGGCTACCCAGAAAGCCCGAATGCCGCCCACAGATAAACGCCAGGCCCCGGAAGGAGGTTTATGATGTATAGAGTGTGGATAACAGCCTGATGTTGCCTGTTAGCTTAGGAATGCCTTGTTCTTTCTGGTGGTCCATGTGACTACCCACCACACGGTTTTACTATTAACCCCCGTGAGAAAGAGGCCCTGTCCTGGGAGGGTGTCTTTGGAGCCAGATGGGATCAGGCAGTTTAGGGGAAGGGCCGTGGGGAGGGAAGATGGTAGTTAAGGAGGGAATGAGCCAGATGGCCATGTGAGCAGGATAGGTGGAATGTACCAGTCAACCGCAGAGCTGCCCTTCGCCCTGAACCCAAGAGTGGGAAATGAGGGCAAAAGAGATTGGCTGGTGTTTTTTTGAAAGAGCCAATAGAGGGCAAGAGAGGAAAATATAATCCTGCAGACTAGTGAGCTTCTGCAGGAGCCCTTTTCGGGATCCCTCTCCTGTGCTGACAGCTTTGTTACTTTTGCTGTAATAAACTTTGCTTTCCTTTGCTTACCCCTCCCTTGTCTGTAAATTCTTTCATCAACTTCTGGAGACAACAAACCCAACAGCTCAGGCATGAGTCCCACAGCCACTGGGAATAGCTGCTTTCCCTTGTATGTGATTTTCTCCTATGAAAGCGCTTATGAATTTGGATAAGGTTATGTGTCAGTTCTTCAGAATCAATCCTGAATTTAGGCTTTTGGGGCTTGACCCTGACACGCACCCCTTGAGGCAGCTCAGTAAACCACTCTGATTTATATTCTGAATGAGTCGCTGTCTTGCTATGGAGTTGTTATTTTGTTGTGTGTTTTTTTTTTGCAAGACAGCATAAGACTTCCAACTAAAGAAGTATGCAGTAGTTTACAGAAAACAAAGTAAGCTAAGCAATAGAGCAATGGTTCTCAACCTTCCTAATACCGCGACCCTTTAATTCAGTTCCTCATTTTGTGGTGACCCCCAATTTCACTGTTACAAATGGAACATAATGAAAGCATAGTGATTAATCACAAAACAATATGTAATTATATATGTGTTTTCTGATGGTCTTAGGCGACCCCTGTGAAAAGGTAGTTCCACCCCCAAAGGGGTCGCGACCCACAGGTTGAGAACCGCTGCAATAGAGGCCAATCCCAGAAACAAGAAATGCAAGGCAACAATCTTCACCACCTAGTGGTGATGAGCAGAACTGCACCCCCTTCCGCACGCACCCTCTTGTCCTTGGGGGTGATTATCGCCTCTTTATTCTCTTCTGAGACCAGCACACAGGTGCTGTAGGAGGACTGGAGCATGTTGATCACCAGGGAGTTGGACAACACATCCAGTTTCTTCACCTCGTCCCCTGTCACGTTCACACTTCCCGCAATCCCATACCTAAGAAGACAAAAAAAAAAAAAAAGAGTTGATGGACATCTCTGAAGGATCCTGAGCTCCAACAAACAAGTCCAGATACTAACGCAGCACAGTATGTCTACCTTTCCCTTCACGGCTCCGGGGTCTCCAAATGATAAACACAGCCCGAGTATGGCCTGTCCCACAGCACGGATCCTCGGCCTTGCTTCCTGTACACCCCCGGGGTATATTGTCCGGTCCCCTGTTCTCCCAACATGCTAACCAGAACTCAGTGTTACTAGTTTACAACCCTGCCTCGGCCTCCCGCTGCTGAGTTAGAGCTCTGAAGCCAGACTAATTAATGATCCAAAAAAGTGAAGACCCACGACTTTCCAGCCCCAGAATTTCAGTATTTGTTATTCAATGTCCTCAAATAGTGGCCTGCTGGGCTGAATTAAAAATCACCCTGCTATTGAATGCTTTTACTTGAATAAGAAGGAAATTTGGAGACAGACTTAACTAATTTAATATGGTTTTTCACTATCTCTTTTTAAACAATATCAGGAAAAGCACAATTATATCATTCTATGTAGGGTTTTTGTGTTTTAGAGTATTAATATGCAAAGGTCTCAGACCTTCCACCCTTATGGGAGGGATCCTTCTAATATTTCAGTCCCCACAATGGAAGGGGAACCCATCAGGCCCTACAACCAATGCCTGTTCCCACTCTGACATTGTCCCTTTGGCCTCTCACCCTCATTTGGCCAGTCTCAGCATCCAGACCCACTGGACACACACCTGCCTTATGACCAAACCCTGGGTTTGCTGCCCCGCCCCCATGCTCTGCCCTCCAAGAGCCACAAGGCTACCACCTCCCTCACACCTTTTGCATTCCAACAGCTGCCCAGGTCCTGTGGCCCCCAGCACCCGGCAAGCTTTCCTCTCATTTTCCCTTCACTCATGGCCCTGCCCCCACAGGAGCACTCCCAGCACAGGCAGCGTTTCCCTACCGACCTCCTGACTTGCTCCAGAAGCTCCCGGGTCCCCCTTCGTGCTCCCACCACACACGAGGCACACCCCTGCCATCCCGTCCACATCACCATCTACTCATGGGAGTGGCTTTCCCGTTAGGTCAGCGGTTCTCAACCTGTGGGTCGCGACCCCTTTGGCGGTAGAACGACCCTTTCACAGGGGTCGCCTAAGACCATCCTGCATATCAGATATTTACATTATGATTCATAACAGTAGCAACATTACAGTTATGAAGTAGCAACGAAAATAATTTTATGGTTGGGTCACAACATGAGGAACTGTATTAAAGGGCCAGAAGGTTGACAACCACTGCACTAGGTTATCTGCCCGCTGAGACTCTGTGTTTATTTCCTCAGTATGCAGAGTCATAGGAGATGCTCGATACCTATTCACTGAATGGGGACTAAAGGATGCAGAACAGTAGTCTCTCTTCCTCTCCCTTTTAAACACCATTTATTTGTTGAAGGGAATCCCCAGGTGGATTAACAGGTAGCCTGGGTTAAGAACCTTGGATTTAAGTCCTTCCCCACCCTCTTCCCTGACCGATCGCGTCCCCCTCCCCCCGCAGCCCTCCCCCATCATTCGATGTCTGCTGTGATGTCACGTGCTGAGCCAGCTGCCTTGGAAAACCATACCGATAGCCTGGTTCAAAATAAAAGCAAATAAACAAATGACAGCCATAGCAAAGCTGGGTTATTGTGCATCGGAGTTTACTGTGGATTCTTGAGGCGGATGCTGCCAGGGAATGGAGAGCGGGGGTTCCCCGGGTCTCTGGTGGGCAGAGATGAAAAACAGATCTCTGCCCTGTGCTTGCAAGTCTCCCCGCCCCCCATACCGATAGCCTGGTTCAAAATAAAAGCAAATAAACAAATGACAGCCATAGCAAAGCTGGGTTATTGTGCATCGGAGTTTACTGTGCATTCTTGAGGCAGATGCTGCCAGGGAATGGAGAGCGGGGGTTCCCCGGGGCTCTGGTGGGCAGAGATGAAAAACAGATCTCTGCCCTGTGCTTGCAAGTCTCCCCGCCCCCCCCCCCCGCCCCTCCCCAACACCCCATAGAACACACCCTTACCACCCCTCAACAGGCCCCTCCTGCTCCCCCAGGCGCTGGGGGCCCTGCACACACACCCCTGCTTCCAGAAGGGGGGAGGCTCATGCACAATGAGGACTCATTGCCCTCCGGTGAGAGCCTGGGTGGGGGGTGCTTCGCCCCCAGGACAATCCCTGCTAGCACTAGACTTAGCACTAAAACCTTCCTGGCCATGTGTAAGTCTGATGCCCCATCATCTCGACAAGAAAAGCCATGGAGAGGTTTTCAGGCGAGGCCTTCTAGCTTTCCCTTCTTCCCGGCAAGGAGTGGAGAAAAAGGAAGGGAACCGAGAATGTCTGGCCGCTTTTAAGTTGTATGAACAGAGCCTGTGCCTAGAAATGTCTTCCCAAAGAGAGGACGCGAAGGAGGGGCTTGAGGCCCCTGAAGGGGGAGCGGCAGGAGCCGGTGGAGTACCCCTCTCCTGAGCAGACTTCCTCGGGGACAGAGTGCACCCCGTTCGCTCTCTGAGAAGCAATCCCAGGGGCCTCTTCAGATCATCTCAGCATCTTGCTAGAAAGAAGGAATTTCCAGTTGGACTGCTCCCCTGCCACTGTGGGTGCTTTCGCAGAGGAGGGGGGAAGGCTGCTGTCTGAATGGGCAGAAAGTGTTGTCCTCCCCGCAGACCAAGGAAAACTCAGCGCCCAGCAAATGTGGATCCTGACGTCGTTTCCACGGGCTGCGCCTGCCACCTAGTGGTCTGTCTGCAGCATCGACCAACCAGTTGCCAAATTTCCCCAGGTCTGGACTTTCAAACGGTTGTAATAAAGAGCATTTACTGAGCATGGAGGGCTGGCACTGTCGAAATCATCATCGCATGGACTTACCCTTACAACAACCCTACAAGCTAGGGGCTATCACTATCCTCTCCGTTTTACAGATGGGAAGACTTAGGTCCTGGTGAGAATGGATGGGTGCCCACGATGTCATGGAAGGAAAAGCCAGGTCAGATGAGCACCCTAATTATCCAATTCCCGAATCCATTTCATCTGGACATTCAACGGCCAGAGAGTCAGTTCTGCAGCTGACCGATCTGACCCCACCACAGCAGCCGCTGCCCACGCACGTCCTGCCAGAGCAGGAGCCCAGTGGACTTGGGTGAATAACACTTAGATGCCAGCAGGAGAGGGCACCAAGCAAAGCAGGGCTCACATACAGGGAGAGGCACGTCGCTGCCTAGTGTCACTCAGCAGGCCCCATCCCCTGGCAGGCGCAGGCCAGGGCAAATGGCTGCACTCACATTCCTGAAGGTCCTGGAGTGTAGAGCTTAGCGTTATCTCCAAATGACAGCAATGCAGGGTGGGAAAAGCTGGCCATAGGCATCTTTACCTGGATCCCATTAATGGGTCACAAAACGGTGTGTCAGTAATTGTGTAATTATCTTGTGGTAATTACATCCTGTCATATAATGCTATCACGCTTTTGTGTTAAAAGCACTCATTGTTTTGTTTTTTGTTTTCTGTCTTGTTTTGTTAATCCTCACCCAAGGATATTTTTCCCCCATTGCTTTTTAGAGAGAGTGGAAAGGAGGGGGAGTGACAGAGAGAGAAACATCGATGTGAGAGAGACACATTGAATGGTTGCCTCCCACATGCTCCCTGACTGGGGCTAGGGATTGAACCTGCAACTGAGGTACGTGCCCTTGGCCAGAATCACCCCTGAGGGCTCCTGGACTGGGAAAGGGTACAGGCCGGGCTGAGGGACCCCTCACTCACCAAGTGCATGAATTTTGTGCACCGGGCCTCTAGTAAGATTATAAGTATCTTCCTCAAAGATCCAATGTGAAGATTGACTAAATATGTGAAATGACAAGTACAGTTCTTGACAGATAGTAAATAATTAATAAATAAGAATTAATAAATATTAGTTATTTGTATTATTAATGGGTATGTGCCCTTACTGGGGGTCCAACCTGCCACGCTTTGGTGCACAGGATGATGCTCCAACCAACTGAGCCACCTGGCCAGGCGCCAGGCTGGTGTGGGGTTTTTGTCTTGTTTTGTTAATCCTCACCCAAGGATATTTTTCCCCCATTGCTTTTTAGAGAGAGTGGAAAGGAGGGGGAGTGACAGAGAGAGAAACATCGATGTGAGAGAGACACATTGAATGGTTGCCTCCCACATGCTCCCTGACTGGGGCTAGGGATTGAACCTGCAACTGAGGTACGTGCCCTTGGCCAGAATCAAACCCCCGACCCGACCCTTCAGTCTGTAGGCTGACACTCTCACCACTGAGAATACCAGCCAGGGCTATTTTATTTTTCTCATTTAGTTTATTGGTATTGTTGAAAGTATTACAGATGTCCCTTTAAAACAAAATAAATTGTTAATAATAACATTTTAAATATGGGACTTTGTTATTTCTTCAATTTAAAGTAATAATAATCCTATATAATAAATGGGTAATACACAATTTAACCGAATGGCGAACAACCAGTTGTTATGATGCACACTGACCACCAGGGGGCAGATGCTCAACACAGGAGCTGCCCCCTGATGGTCAGTGCACTCCCACAGGGGGAGTGCTGCTCAGCCAGAAGCCGGGCTCACAGCTGGTGAGCGCAGTGGCAGTGGCGGGAGCCTCTCCCGCCTCCATGGCAGCTCTAAGGATGTCCGACTGATGCACTCGCTGTCCACAGATCGGCCCGCTGGTCACCTCCTGCAGAAGGAGGCCAGACTGCAGCTTAAGCCCACTTCCCATCAGTTGGACATCCCCTGAGGGCTCCTGGACTGGGAAAGGGTACAGGCCGGGCTGAGGGACCCCTCACTCACCAAGTGCATGAATATCATGCACCAGGCCTCAAGTCTATAATAATAAAAGGGTAATATGCTAATTAGACCCAACGTCTTCCGGACGTCATTCCAGACATCCTTCCTGACAAAGCCGGGGCTAGAGAGAAGCCAGCCTGGGTCCCCCGTGCCTGCTGGCAACAGGAGGAGGAAAGCCCGGGCCCCTGGTGCCAGAGAGAAGCTGGTGCCGGCAGCCGGGGGAAGGAAGGCCTACTCTTGCACGAATTTTCATGCACTGAGCCTCTAGTAATAAATAATAGGCCCCTTCAACTTCTGGAAGGACTTCACTGGAATGACTGCAATGAAAAGGGAAGTCCAAAGAAGGCTGCTTCTTTTTATTGCAGACTTACACTGGACACTTGGCTGTGTTGGTCAGTGCTCATGGCCTGAACTTGGCCTCATTCTGTGCTTGAATAAAGCACCAAAGAGAACAACATGTAGAATGCTGAACATTAAAAGGTGGTTTTAAAGACAAAGGCTCCTTTCGGTGTAAGAAAGGAGATGTAGGCTGGGGCCCTGAGAAGTTATTTTGTAAACGATAATGATTCCTAGCTCCTGATGAACTGGCCAAGGTCATGACAATAAAATGTTCCCATCTGCAAAGGGCATGGGATCCTGGCTGGTTCTTTGTGCCAGTGAGAATGCAAATACAAAAGTCACAATAATTCAACATGTTTTAACGTAACAAGTCACTGGGCTTGCTATCATTGTAATGGCAACTGGAAAAATTATATACTTATGTATTTTTTCTCCATAGCATGTCTCCAAGTATTTCGTTCCCTTCTTGAAAAAAGTCAAAGTCCCCTTTATCAAAGGGCACAGAAACTTTAAGGCAACTTCCATGCAGGGCACAGAGGCAAAGCGCTTTGGCCAGAATTCCTGCCAGTGCCTGCAGCTTGCCCACACCCCCACCTGGGCCCTGTCCCCAGGTCCGCGGCTCTGCGCACCCGCACCGGCTCCCGGACTCACAGGTTGGCCAGGCCGGCCTTGCGCACGGCCGAGGAGATGGCCTTGATGGCCGTCAGCATGGAGTTCAGCAGCTGCGTGAGCTCCCCTGTCCCCTTCGCCTGCCGCCCCTTTTCCATCACATAGCGGGTGAGGGTGAGCATGTCCGTTTCGAAGGGGCTTCTGTCCGTCATTGTGGCTGGTCTTTTTTCAAACCTCCCTCTTTTTCCTGCAGAAAGAAACCCTTGCTTGTCTCCGAGAGCTGTAGCTCCGTGGTAGCAGAGCTGGCCAGGACCTTTAAGGAACAGTGCCCCAGCCCACGTGGTTGGATCACTGGGCAAGCCCTCCGGGATCGCTCTCGGGTGTGGCTACCCTGAGGGCTGCCAAGGCCCACAGCCAGCTGGAAATAGAACCGGAACGTGAGACACAGACCTGCTTTCTCTTGTTGAGCTGCTCTCTTTAAAGACCCAAGAAGCCACCGTTTAGTAACAGGTGGGAGATGAGAAATCTGGCCACTAAAAAAGATCCACAAAGCCCTCTTATTCCAGGACTGCACAGTCTGATGCAGAGCCCGTTCCCCCTGGTTATCGAGAGCATGTGGGCAGATATCTTACCTGGGGTCCAGGTGACATAATAAGGTAATGGCAATCCTGGGACCTCTTAGCCAGGGTTCTGTCCTGTAAGTTTAAAGGATGCTTTTTGTTTCAAAAAAAAAACATGTATGGTTGGACGGAAAGCTCTAAGAGATATCCAAATCTGGAAGAAATAAATTATATTCTTAGCACAGTGCCTAGCACCAGGGTTATTTTATCAATTCCTCTAGATTTGTACTTTTATAACAAAAACTAGAGGCCTGGCGCACCGATTAGTGCACCGGTGGGGGTCCTTTGGCCAGGCCTGCAGGGATCGGGCCGAAACCAGCTTTCCGACATCCCACGAGGGGTCCCGGGTTGTGAGAGGGCAGCTCTTGGGTGATGCACTCCGGAATCGGGCTCCCTCCTCTCTGGTTCCTGGCGCATCACTGGAGAACTGCCATTGCCAAGTGACTGCAGCTCAGCAGCACCTGCGTTGAGCGTCTGCCCCCTGGTGGTCAGTGTGTGTCATAGCTACTGGCCGGTAGGCTGGTTGGTGGGTTGGCCGGTCGGCCCGGCTGGTCGCTTAGGCTTTTATATATATAGATGCTTGCTTATTGAAAAGGAAACACTGCAGAAGTATATAAATAAAAAGTCCTCACCACCAACCTATCCCCCAACCCACTCCCTAGATATAACTGCCATCACAGCTGGTGGGAGTCTGCACTGGAAGGAGGCCT